CTGATACTTTCCTAGCCATTTGTCACTGAGCGTAGTAACATTGCTGCTTTATCCTCAGTCCTTGACATTCTGTTTGCAACTTGTTCCATCCTATTAGCAAAGCTTGGAATTTAGTTTCACTTGAGCTTGGGGGTTTTCAGTTCTAGAATTTTGATTTTTCAGAATTTGTGTACCTTTATTGAATTTATTTTGACAGCTTACATTTTTTGACCCTTATTTCATTTAGCTAGTTATTTGAATTCAGTTCATTTGGCTATTTGTATTCTCTTTAAATCCATTCAGGTGTTTATGCATGTCATCTTGGATTTTGCTGATTGTTCTTTTCAGTTAATTCTTAAGAGTTCTACTTCGCTGCTATTCAAGACCTTTATTATAAAACTGACTCATAGCCAGGTGCTGGTGGCTCGCGCCTGTCATCCTAGCTACTCAGGACACTGACATCTGTGGATCATGGTTCAAAGCCAGCCTGGGCAGGAAAGTCTGTGAGACTCACGTCCAGTTAACCACTGAAAAAAACCAGAAGTGGAGCTGTGGCTCAAATAGTAGAGCGCCAGCTTTGAAAGGGAGTCCAAGCCCTAGAACCAGCACACAGAAACAAAGAAAAAGGAAATGGTTGATGTTTGCAGGAGTCACGTTGCCTTGGTTTTTTCCCATATTGTTTCTACACTGAACCCAGTTTTTGGTTGTTAGTTTTAAGTCTGGGTCATTTCAGTTAAAGTGCTCAGTGTCTAGGCATGACGGGGTAGTGACTAGGCTGCCGTGTGATTCTCCTGACACTCGGCTAAGGGTATTGCTTGGTAGTACAAACTTACCCACAGTGCTTGAGACATTGGGCCTGGTGCCCTGTTTCACTCAGGAAGAAGATTAGCTGCAGACGCAATCACAGCTGATAGACAATCACCATAAGAAGAAAGTAATCCAGATTAAACAATTGCCGTCACCACTCCACTATCTTTAGATATTGGAATAAAGGAGCCAGTTGTTGAGCTGGTAATGGAAAGATTTGGACATCACCAATGAATAGAACTGGAGGTGTGCTAGGGCTGGGAAGGTGGCTCAGTGGTAGAGCGCTTGCCTTGCATGCCTGAGGCCCTGGGTTCGATTCCTCAGCACCCTATAAGCAAAAAGCCGGAAGTGGCGCTGTGGCTCAAATGGTAGAGCACTAGCCTTGAGCTGAAGAGCTGAGGGACAGCGCCCAGGCCCAGAGTTCAGGCCCCACGACCGGAACCCCCCCCAAAAAAAAAAAAAAGATCTGGATGTGTGCTATAGAAAGGTTGGGAGGAGAAGATGGTCCTGACTGAGAGGAAGGAGGATGAGAAAAGAGCCAGGCAAAGATATGTGAACCAGGAAGAGAAAGAAATAAAAGTAGGCTCTGGCAACTACTTGCTAAAGACAATGAAGATTGTAGATCGGAAACAAAAGTACATACCTTAGTTTGTGGGCAGACAATAGAAACTTTGAGAGAGGAGAGGGAAAATGAAGTAGGAAAAGGTGGCTATTAGCTGGGCGCCAATGGCTTACGCCTGTAATCCTAATTCTGGTGCTTGAGATCTGAGGGTCACTATTCAAAGCCAGCCCCAGCAGGAAGCTCTGTGAAATTCTGATAAACTACTCAATCTGGAAGTGGTGCTGTGACTCAAATGGCAGAGTGCTCACCGTGGTGAGCAGAAGCAGCTCAGGGACAGTCCCAAACTTGGGAGTTCAAGCTCCAAGACCGGAGGGGTGTGTGTGGGGGGTGTGTGGGTGGTTGTGTGTGTGGGTGTGTGTGGGTGGTTGTGTGTGTGTGTGGGTGGGTGGCTGTGTGTGTGTGTAGGTGGCTGTGTGTGTGTGTGTGTGGAGGTGGCTGTTGTAGCTCACATAGAATGACCATAAGTAAAAAAAGCTAGCTACTCAGGAGGTTGAGATCTAAGGACTGTGGCTCAAAGCCAGCTCAGGCAGGAAAGGCTGTGAGACTCTTTATCTCCAATAAACCACTCAAAAAAAAACCTGGAAGTGGCACGGTGACCCTGAGTTCAAGCCCCAGGACTGCCAAAAACAATCAATTTTGCCAGGTGCCAGTGCTCACACCTGTATTGCTAGCCCCTCAGGAGGCTGAGATCTGAGGATGGCAGCTCAGAGCAGAGACAGCACCCAGGCCGAGTTCCAGCCCAGGCTGGCCAAAAAGAATCTAGAGGATCCTGAGAAAAAGAGAGAAACAGGTCCACCCCCCCCAACCCCAAGAAAAAACCCCAGCATTTTCTTCGTTGCTCTGAGCAGCTGGGGGGTGTTTTGTGGGGGCCAATGGCACAGAGAACCCCGAGGGCCCCAGTGCCGAGGCCGCACACAGGATGGCAGCTGCAGTACAGTGATGGCGAGTTCCCGGGCTGGACCCCTGGCATTTCCTCTCCTCCCGCCCCTGCTGGCATCGGTGTCTCCCTGACCCCTACGTCCCTGGACCCTCAGTGTGCGCATGTTCTGCTCGCTGGCTGGCTGAGGTCACGCACCTAGCTGCACCTGTGGTGGTCAGTGTGCCCGTGTGGCGGCTGGTGGCGCGGCCACGCTGATCCTCGGCACTGACTCGGGGGTTTCTGTGGTGCGCGTGGGAGCCCCCACTGCAGATGAGCTGAGGGCCTCCGCCACCCAGGCTCCCCACCCGTGCCACCCGCCGTGGGAGCATGAGATGCTGGCGTGACGTGTGACAGCAGCTGCGCGCTGAGCCCTTCTTGGGGGGCACGGCTGTGGGGACCGAGGCCGACCCCTTGCTTCCTCTAATCCCTCACTTATGCGGCTTCTAATACAACCAAACTCCTGGAAATAAAGTAAAAAGGTGGCTCGTGGGGGGGGGGGGGGCAGAGTTTGTTTTTGCAAGATGAAGTTCTAGAAATCTTAACGGTTTTTGTGTTATTTATACCCAGTTTTAAAGTATTATATATCAAGCAACACTGCGTGCATACCTCGGTACTCACAGTTCGTCACTGCCCTGCAACACAACTGTGGCCTTCATTTCTATTGTTACTGAATTTCAAATCTTGGAACTGTTAAACACTTTGACCATTTCTTAAAAAAAAAAAAATAGCTTTAGTAGCCTAGAAAAGACACTTTGCCGGGAGAGGTAGGGGAAATGAAAAACATGGATCTTACTGAAAACTGACATCCTGCCCGGGTCTCTAAGGCAGGCGCTGCGCTTGTAGTTTCCAAGTGTTTGCATCTATCTTCTTCTCTTGGAGGCTTTAAAAAGTCAGCAGCTAGTAGCGCTGTGGCTCAGGTGGTAAGAGCACTCACTCGCCTTGAGCTGAAGCTGAGGGACAGCACCCAGGCCCAGAGTTCAGGCCACATGACCGCCCAAAAAAAAAAAAGCAGCTAACACTAGCGAAACTTACATAATGCTTTAACACATGAAAATGCCAACAATAATCCATTCAGTCTAGGTCCAAGTTTCCCAGTAAGAAAATCCCAGGTTTCCCTCAGGAGAGACGGCATTTTAGATCCAGAGCTAATGGTGACCTAAAACTGATGCGGCAATAGACGGGTCCCTGGGCACAGTGAACCCCGCCCTCTCCACACCGCATTTCTGCGCTTCAGAGCCAACTTTAAGGTAAACCTGACTGTGTGCAGCAGCAGTCAACAACTGGCCTTTCCCAAAAGCTGTGAATCCAGAGGGAATGAATTAGAGGCAGGGCAGTGCGCATGCCTAGACAGGTATTTGGGGAGCAAGCAGCCCAGGTGGGTAAAGGAAGAGCCGTGAGCACTGGGCCAGGGCATAGTGTAGCGCACACACCTTCATGCTGACGGTGTGACAGTTGAAGACGTAGAGACACAGAAGCTTCTTGGACACTCACTGGTAAATGGCAGTCGCAGCAGCTAGCAGAACTGGAAATGCCCATAGTACCAACTTGTAGCACTGAGAGAGAGACAGGAGCCACGTGTGCTGGCCATGTTTTATTTGTCCTTTTTCTTCAAACAGGATAACCAAAGATACAGACAGTATTCAGCAAAATAAAATAGATGGAACCAACTCTAAGACTGCGCTGTCCCATGCTACATTTAACCTAGTTTATCATGCTTGCCTCGGGGATGAGGAATAGATCATTCAGCAAAACAACGAATGTCTACCGTGTACAACGGGGAAACTACAATAATGATGTACCTTAATTACTTCCATGCACAAGTCTAACGTTACAGGCTTTAAAAAATAAACACAATTAAGACTTCTAGGAGCATTTTATAATAAAGTAATTCCTAAATTTTCTTTGTAGATAGATCAAGCACCTCCAAAATACAAATTCCTATACACAGTGAGTACTTACTAAATGAACACGTAGTGGTGGTGAAGTAGTGGCAGCTGTAGACGCGCTGACCTCGTGGGTTCAGCCGGGTAGGCAACAGACCAGAGTGCCACGTGGACAAAGTGTAGTCGCAAATAAAGGTTTTGGACGAGTGAATTGTTATAATTAAATACAGAAAATAGATTGATTTGCTAAAATAAATAAGATGTGATGCACTAGGAACCCCAGAACACTTGAGACGATGGCGGCGACGCTGCTGCACGGGGCGCCCGCGGGCGCTGGGTGGAACTGGTTCTGCCACGTACTTGTTACCTTGAGGTAGATAACACATGTGTACCAAACTCGGCATTCATTTTCAGTTGCTGCTGGTATCATGTGTTTTAAGAAATGTGTACAGTATGAAAACTTGAAAACACTAATGAATGAAAAATGTTTTTGGAAAAAAAATAGGCATTTTCATGCAAGTATGTACAGTCTCACTGTGTAAATTTCAAGGCAAGGTTTTTGTTTCCTGTAAATCAGCTCCTTGTAGTGGGAGAGAATGCCGAGTGTCCGCACACTCGTCCCCCCGCATTGCATTAGCTTGCTCTATTCTGTGTGTGCAAACGACATGCCAGTTACAATGAAAACTCTCACATGGAGAGGGGAAAAAAAGACTGGGTTTTAAAAACCAAGAACAAATTAATTCCTTACTAAGTGATACCTTCTGATTCAAGTAAAAAAAATGACTTAAAACACTAGTAATAAAAAAGACAAAACACATTTCATGAAAAACACGAAGGGAAATGTCTGCTGAGTGTTTTAGTTCAGGTGTTTCAGAATGCTGCTGTATGTCTTGTGAGGAATTTGAGGGGAGGATTTCAGCGCAGAAGGTGTTAAGGTGGCCTGCACTGACTTTAGTGGCGACCCCACGGGGCTGGGAAACTGGGGGATGCCTATGGACTCGAGCTGCTTGTTAAAGAGGAACTCCCCGCTGTGGCTGGCCCCGAGCCTGCCCTCTTCCTCTGGCTCAGTTTCTAGCACTTCAGACTCTTCCTTCCTGCTAAAGAACTTGTCCAAGTAGGTGGTGGACGTGTTTTCCTTCTCCGCCTGCTCGTCCTTCCTGACCTCGCAGCAGAACTGACTGATGAGGAAGCACTCCTCCCCGCTGCCCACGAACTGGCTGTCCCAGGACGACTGGTACCAGGCCCCCAGCTGCGCCAGGTTCGCCATCCCCTTCTCCTGCTTCTCTTGGCTCACTGACTTCGCTATCAGACTTTTCAATTCTAGCTGGGACACGGAGCTGTTCAGGTCATTTAACTTGTCAACAACATGAGCCGTGGGCTCATGCTGCGAGCTGAGCTGAATAGTTCCTGCAATGAAGGAATCGAAATCAAACCCCTGCTTCTTCTCCCTCTCCTTCTCAGCCCACTGCTGGGAGGCTTCCTCTAACGCTATCTGGGCCTTCACCAACCCGTTCCGCTCACATTTGGACTTGCCCCTCCTATCCGATTTGTCCTTGCTTTGTTCTTTCCAGTTGGAAAGGTCAATAATAAGCTTGGGCTCGTAATAATGGTTAACCTCACTCTCTCTCCACACTAAGTTGTCGAGGTATGATGGCGACCTCGTTTTGTAGTTACAGGTATGGCTACACTCCAGGTCGCAGTACTTGTTCTCATGGTGGTCCGGGTACTGCCAGCAGGGCTCTGTGGAGTAATTGGCGTCGAAAGCAGGGTCCTCCAGATACTTCTCTCGGTCTCCATCCAAGTATTTCCGAGGGTCCACTTGTACCTCTTCTTCGTCAGTGACGTCAGACAGAGCTCTCGGGTCAAGCTGAACTTCTTCAATGTCAAAATTGTTATGTATAGGCCAATCATGCTCAGAAAACTGACAGTCATGGTACCTGAAAGAAAAAAACAACAGGCTGTTCACTTGTACTTGTGTACTTGGCAGTCGTGTGAGAAGGATTATGCGTGATTTCCAAAGGCACTATGAGGCCTTTTGCACAAAAAGCTAGGCCCTTCTCAGGTTGGGTCTAGATTTCCATAACGGCCCAGGCTGGCCCTAGACCTGAGCTCTTCCTGCTTCAGTCTCTGGAATGCTGGGATTGAAGCGTGCCTTTCATGCAAGAGTGAAAAGTTAGGCGTACGGGGACAGCAAGCCCTGGCCTTCCTTCCCTATTGCCACACAACTTTTAAAGGTAAGGAATGCTTCTACAGACAGCACTAGGAAAAAGCCAGGGGCCGGTGGCTCACGCCTGTAATCCTAGCTACTCAAGAGGCTGAGATCTGAGGATCTCGGATAGGAAAAGCTGTAAAACTCTTCTCTCCAATAACCCACGAGAAAACTAGAAGTGGCGCTGTGGCTCAAGTGGTAGAGTGCTGGCCTTGAGCTGAAGAGCGGAGGGACAGCGCTCAGGCTCAGAGTTCAAGCCCCATGACCGACCAAAACAAGAGTACTGAACTTCGAGTCCTGAATTCTAGGTAAGAGTGGTTATTTTCTCCTTCCCATTTCATCCATACAAACACAGCTAGTTCTATAACTCAGTTCTACCAGTTCACTCATTTATGTGCCACAAGCCACACACATCTCCAGTCTTGTTACTTCTCTAATGGAGCAAGGTAGACTGAAGACTGAGCAGGTTTACTCTCTCCCCTCTCTCTACTCTCCTCTTTCCTCCTCTTTTGTTTTTTTGGTCTTTGTTTCTTTTTTGTTGGTTATGAGGCTTGTGCCCTCTTCAGCTCAAGGCGAGCGCTCTACTGCTTGAGCCACAGCGCCACTTCTGGTTTTCTAGTGGTTTATTGGAGATAAGAGTCTCCAGGACTTTCCTTTCCCTGGCTGGCTTTGAACTGTGATCCTCAGATCTCAGCCTCCTGAGTAGCTAGGATTACAGGCGTGAGCCACCAGCACCCAGCTCTTCCTTAGAATTTTAACTAACACACTGTACTATTTGTTTTGAAATGGCTTTTTATTGGTGGTGGTGGTGGTCATGGGGCTTGAACTCAGGGCCTGAGTGCTGTCCCTGTGCTTTACTGCTTAACGCTCTACCAATTTTGAGCCACAGTGCTACTTCTGGTTTTCCCGTGATTAACTGGAGATGAGAGTCACAGAGTTTCCAGCCTGGGCTGGCTTCAAACCGCAATCCTCAGATCCCGGCCTTCTGAGTAGCTAGGATTACAGGCATGAACTACTGGCTGTATTTTTCCTAACAGTTCACTGCATTACTTCAGTAAATGCCTTTCTAATTGAGGATCAATTTACCTTTCCCAGTTATAAATGTGACTGTGAGTTTCATCCATAAGCAAAATATCATCCACTTCATCTTCGATGTGAAAAGGATGGCTGGAGATGGGCTCGTCCGTGGGGAAGGAGTAAATACTCATGTAGGGATGAGAGAGCGCCTCCTCCGCAGTCAAGCGATCCATGGGGCTAAAGGTCAGAATCTGCTCCAGGAAACCCAGTGCTGCAGAACAAAGACGAGACGAAGCTCAGTGAGAGAGAGAGGAAGTGGACAAGTGGCTCCACTCAGCAAAGACCATGTGGCCAAGGACCCTCCCTCACCACCTCCCACCTGAGCACCCCTCCCCCAGCCTGCCCGCTCAACTAAGCCATGACAAACGGCCCCACGCCTATCAGCACAGCAGAAACCTGTGAAATTGCCATTTTGGTCAGCCAAAAATGCTCCAATAGCAGTCTCTTCCAGCTCAACCTAACACTCAGGTCTAAGCTACTGATTTAGATCTAGGATTTAACGGAATTACGAGCTGTCTAGTCCTAGACTGTTGAATTTGCTAAACAGAAACGTGATAAAACGCGTTCATCCAGCTCCCCTCTGCTCAGGCAGGCGTGGGTCCCACCCACGCATGTGTCTGCTCACCCCTTACATCACCCTCCAAGGCTGGACCACTAAACCAGGAAAAAACCACCCCGAGACCCTAGCATCTGGGGGCTGTTGGCAGCAGGGAAGGCAGAGCTGGTCAGCCCTGCTCCAGAGGGAACCACTGCCTTTGCTAGAAGAGCGCCCAGTGTGCGTGATCGATCCACACGCAGGGAACTACGAAAGGGACTTCACGTGCTGTGTGGGAGAGAGTATTTTTACCAAGCTCCCGTGACCTTGAAATGTGCTTTCCAAAATTAGAATTTCAATTATAAGCAGTTGGCATTTTTAGTGTGATAAATCTTTACTCATGCTGTACTGCAACCGCCATGTGAACTTAACGAACCCATTACCAAACTCATCAACACCTACCAGAAATCCCCACACCAGCCAAATACCCAGCTCGATTCCCAGCTGAGGAAGATGCGGCAGTCCCCACTGATTCAAGAACCGTTTCTGGCTTGCACGAACTCTCACATTATCATGTTCAGAGTTTTCATCATGAGTAACTTTTTTTTCTTAGTCATGGGGCTTGAACTCTGGGCTTGGGCGCTGTCCCTGAGCTCGGGCGCTGTCCCTGAGCTCTTCCCCTCAAAGTGAGCACTCTATAGCTTAAGCCACAGCACAGCTTACAGTTTTCTGGTGGTTTATTGGAGATAAGAGTCTCACGGACTTTCCTGCCCTGGCTGGCTTTGAACTGCAATCCTCAGACCTCAGCCTGAGTAGCTAGGATTACAGGTGTGAGCCACGGGCGCTTAGCTATCATGAGAAAAAAAAATTGTGTGTGTGGGGGGGTGGATACTAGAGTAGGTACCCTACCACTTGAGCCATATCTCTAGCTGAACCTACGGGAGCTGAAGTTAACGTTTTTTAAATTCCCACAGTACTTGGGTGAACTTGGAGACAAGAGCTTGCTAATAAGCAAGCTGTCTTCATACATCATTTTTGTTCTTTCTTCCATCTAGCCTTCCCTAACTCTGTTCTTTAAATCATGATCCCATACACACCATACCTACTTTATTCTAGTTGGTATATTCTTGATACAAGGGGATTTCACACAACGTGTCAGAGGGAACATGCCCCGTGCAGCAGTGGTGTGGTACGCTTGCCTGCAGGAGTGACCAGGCCGAGCTGGCAGAGGAAATGGGGTGAGAACCAGGAGAGAGAGTAGTAACTTCCTGGACTCTGAAAAATTACTCCAAAGAAAAAAAAGATCCTGGACTCAGGTCCAAGCCAAAAAGGGGATGAAGAAGCGGAGCGTGTACGCACTGTCTGGGAGAATGCTCCTCCACCCCAGTCCCGCCGGCACACTCGGGGCCGCTCCCATCACTGTACCTTCTCGGCTAATTCCTGGAAGCAGCTGAGTTAAGGGTTTGTGTGGCTCAGTCATGTCGTTTCTAATGTAAACGGGAATTACGCTGAGAAGCTCCTGACGATCCTCCTCATGGACAACAGGAATAGATTCTAAAATCAGTTGCATCTGTTCAAGTTCATGTGCACCTGAGCATAAAACACCAAAGACCAACCACGTAAATACATTCTTGATGTTAACTTACTTGGTAATAAACATACTAGTATTAAGTGAAACACTGTAACGAGGGGGAGGGGGGGTGAGTCGTAATCTTAGCGGGTTCCACCACTGTGAGCAGCACCGGTCTACTCAGAGCAGCGCTGCTCATGTGCACGCCGGCCGGCTGTTCTCTTTGCCAGCCTGTTGGCATGGAGAGCCAACTCCTTAAGTGCAGCCTCATCACAAGTGGAAGAAAGCGATCCACTGGAGGTTGGGCATGGTGGTGCATACCTATAATCCCAACCGCTGAAAGCGGTGTAGCAGGAGGACTGAGGGTTCCAGGATAGCCTGGGCTACACAGGGAGACACTGTCCTGAATAAGAAGACTGGTGGTGTCGTCTCAGCTGTATCATTAATAATACTAAGTACAGCTTTAACTCTGGCCTATTGAGGATTTGTATTAGCATCAATAAAAACTAGCATCAGCCAATAAATAAACGAACAACAAAATGAGGTAAATCCATATAACAGAACACTATGCAAAAGGAAGTGCTAATATATGACCCAAGATGAATGAACCTCCAAAAATACTACCACATGACAGAAACCTGTCATTAAAGACAAATAGTTTACGATTTCATTTATGTGATTTTTTTTGGCCAGTCCTGGGGCTTGTATTCAGGGCCTGGGCACTGTCCCTGAGTTTCTTTTGTTGCAGGCTACACAATGCCACTTCTGGCTTTTTCTGTTTATGTGGAACTGAGGAATCGAACCGGGGCTTTATGCATGCTGGCAAGCACTCTACCACTAAGCCACCTTCCCAGCCCTGAAATATCTTAAACAGATAGATCCATAGAGACAGAAAATTAGTGGTTGCTAGGAGCCAGGGGTGGAAGAAATGCAAAGTGAATGCTAATGGTCACAGGTATCTTTAGAAGATGAAAAGATTCTAAAATTATACAGTAGTGGTTATGCACCCTATAGTTATAATAAAAAATACGAATATGAACCCTAACACCATAAATAAGTCGACTGTATAGTATATGAATTGCATGTCAGTAACTGGCTTTGTCCTTGCTTTCTTTTGTGTCGGGAGTTCTAGGGGAAGTCATCTACCATGTTGGAGAACCACCCGGCAGTCCTGCAGCGAAGTGCGTCTCCTGGTAACAGAGATAAGCTATCCATGAGCAGCCCCACTCCCCAGGTCCTGGGGGCGGGGGAGCCCTCAGCGGGCTGCAGCCCTCACCAGCATCTTGACCCAGGAAGCCTGCGCTGAACACCAGGCCAAGCCACCCCACTAACTGATATAGCAACAAATAATCATTATTTTATATGTGCTGTAAGGCACTTTATTATTATCACGATGCAGCAACCTCTAATCACAGTAGTATTCCTAAGAAAAATAAAACTTCCAATCTACTTAAGTCTCCTTTGGTTTGCTTTCTCTCTGCAGCCCAGGCTGACTCAGCCTCCCGCATGCAGGGATGATCAGTTTCTACAGTGCCATGTAGTCACTCACAGATCACAGAAGACATCCCAATAAATGCAAGATTATAATGAATTGATTGGTGTTACTGATTAGCGTAGACAAAGTAGCAATAGCACTGGCACTAAAATCCCATCCTTTCTCCAACCATGCCCCTACTTGCTATTCTGAGAACAGAATCTGCCCGCACCCTCGCTTCTGCACTTCTTGTAATCTGGTGGTAGTAAAGGCCTCTACACTGATGACAGAAGAGGAAAAGTTAGGTCAACAAAAGAAAGGAACTAAGTAACAGAGCATCTTTAGCTTCCTGTGTTTCTGAAGTCAGTCCTCACCTTGCTTTCTAAGAGACCTTCTAAAGTTTCCTGGCTCCAGTCTGAATTGTTATAAATATCTATATCATTCTTGACAACCTGGATTTCATCAAGCTTTTCTTACTGCTTCCTGATTCTACCAGGCTCAGACCTAATTTCTATGTACTTTTAAACACCTTTTTCATTATTTCTATTAAAATGGCAACTCATTCTACTCCATTTGCCTTTCTCTCCAGTCACTGGCATAGCCTCTATTATGTGTTGAAGACTATTATACAAACTCATGCTTTGCTTGATTATAAATGACACTTCACAGATCACTCACTGCTTTTCTTCTTGACTAAGTTCTCTCACATACTTCATTAGACTCATCACAGCACCAGCTGAACAAGAAACCTGTCTGCTTGTTGTGAGTCTCAATGGTTACAGCAGTCAGGTAAAAAGGTCCAAACAATAATAATTCAGGGACCAAGACAAATTTATTGGGCTGGAGATATGGCTCAGTTGGTAGGGTGCCAGCCACGAGCAAGAAAGCTAATGGAAACCTTTTGGACTTTCAACTAAAAACCAGAAAATGACAGTGACAAGAACTGATGTAACTCGGGTATCCCTGAACACAGACTACAACAAATACAGCTCCACAAAAATAGCAAATTAGGTCTAGGAAATAACATACATTCTAACTAAACTTACAAACCTTACATAGATCTTCCTGCAGAGATAAATACAAAGTGATTGCTCTTTGGGGTAATTTTGTGTATATTGGTCCTGCAGCTTCAACTCAGGGCCTAGGTGCTGTCGCTGAGCTTCTTTGCTTACGACTAGTGCTCTACTAGGTTTTTGCCACACTTTCCAATCCAGGCTGGCTTGGAATCAGCATCCTCAGATCTCAGCCTCCTGAAGAGCTAGGATTACAGGTGTAAGCCACTGGCACCTGGTGCGGGGTAATTTCTTTGTATATCATACCCACCTGCAAAGAGGGTTTTACCAGTCAGCATTTCAGCAAAGATGCAGCCTGCAGCCCACATGTCAATGGCTTTAGTATAATTGTTAGGAGAAAGTAAAAGACGTGGAGATCTGTACCATTTAGTAACCAATCCTTCAGAAAGATGACCCTAAAGAACAAACACAAAGCACACTTTAATTTCTATTCTTCTGGCTAAAGAACAACCACCCTCAACATAGTAATTATTAATCCTAGGACAGTACTATTAATTTCTAATCCCATCTTCAAGGCTCTCACACTCTTGGGCAAAATGCACTGTAAGAACTTGTGCCACTTCAAGGCCACAAATTTCAAAACTTGTTTTAGAGAGGAGCTAACCTTAAAGGTGTTTATGTCAAGGAGAGGCTGGGAAAAGCACCAGAGCCACTGCTTATGTGAGCTTTGCCAACAAAGTACAACCTGAGTGTATCCACTCCTCATTCACTGACTCGCCACAGCTGAAAACATGTTTCCCCATGTAGCCCACCTTATTCCACCCAACAATGCTGCGGAGAAATGGTGGTGGCAGATACGCTCCCCACTTTACCAGTGTAGCAACGCAGAGCTTACGGTAACTGCGCAAGCTGCGGGCTTAAGAGTTGTATGGCTATCCAAAAGCACAAATGGAGGCACATCTTAGTGAAACTGACTCAGTTCAGTGCCCTGGCCACACTTCAGTTTCTTATATGGAGAACATGGCATCTACTGTCATTTAGTGCTCCCATTTATACGCTAAAGAATCATTTTTAAAAACTGAAGATATTGTTAAGGTGAGGTAATACCTGAGAATGAAGACTAGATTGTTTTAAGTTTTCCTTTTTGTTTTTTGCCAGTAGTGGGGCCTGAATTCTGGGCCTGGGCGCTGTCCCTCAGCTCTTCAGCTCAAGGCTAGCGCTCTACCACTTGAGCCACAGCGCCACTTCCGGCCTTTTCTGCCTATGTGGTGCTGAGGAATCGAACCCAGGGCTTCATGCATGCGAGGCAAGCACTCTACCACTGAGCCACCTTCCCAGCCCTGCTTTAAGTTTTCTTCTTTTTTTTGTTGGTCATGGGGCTTGAACTCTGGGCCTGGGCACTGTCACTCAGCTCTTGCTCAAGGCGAGCGCTCTACTACTTGAGCCCACAGTGCCACTTCCTGACTGGATTGTTTTAGACGTGCTCCATGGAAAGGCAATCAAAACAGCCCCACTTTTGTATTTTAAGCATCAGGGTCTCACATAAGATTTCAATTTAGAACTAAAAGACAAGCTGAGCACTGGTGGCTCACACCTGTAATCCTAGCTAGTCAGGAGGCTGAGATCTGAGGATCACGGTTCAAAGCCAGCTTGGGCAGGAAAGTCTGTGATACTCTTATCTCCAATAAACCACTCAGAAAACTGGAAGTGGCGCAGTGGCTCAAGTGGTAGGGAGCTAGCCTTGAGCTCAAGAGCACAGGGACAGCGCCCAGACCCAGAGTTCGAGCCCCATGACCAACAACAACAACAAAAAAGACAAGGGTTCTGCTTGAACAGTGCTGTTCAATGCTCCCATGAAAACAGACACTTACAAAGGAGAGTTGTTATGACTTTTTTTGGCGACACAACTGCCAGTTGTTTATGCAGATTAAAATTTGATTTTAAACAAGGTGTAATGATTCTATAGAGCACAGGATTGTCAAAAAAGAAAACCTAAAAGCCCAAATAGTCTCCCCTTACCTTTGGGTAGCACCACACTTTTGCCCCAAACACACAAAAAAAGATTCCACTTTGAAATAACTAACTTCACTCATAATAAATGACCACGCACATCAAGGAATGCATATGAACACATAACCACATGTGTTAGGAGTCTGTATTTAATTAGCATCTTACTCCACCTTCATTTCCATTAGAGGGACTGTGAAAGAAAAACCCACAATAGCATCAGTTTCCAAGTCTGTCTTGGCTGGGCTTTTACCTACCTTATGGGAATAATGAGGATCCATGATCCGTGCAAGACCAAAGTCACCTATCTTCAGCACCAAGTCTTCGGTATTGATGAAAAGATTAGCTGGTTTGAGATCTCTGTGCAGTACGTTTGCAGAGTGAATGTACTTGAGCCCGCGCAGCAGCTGGTACATGAAGAGCCTGGCATGCTCCTCCAGGAGAGGGCCCTGCTCTAGCACATGAGCCAAGTCTGTGTCCATGTACTCCTGAACAATGTAGACGCTGTTCAATTCCGTGAGGGAGCCCACATCATCGGCTAAGTGGCTTCCACTGGGACCAAGAATTTCAAACACTTTCACAATGTTGTCATGGTCAAGTCTTCGAATAATTTTTATTTCACGGAGGGCGTGCTTGACACTCTGGGGGTCAGTAAGGACGATCTTCTTGATGGCTACCCTTTTGTCACAGTCATTGTCTACGGCAGAAAAAACCAAGCCATTGCCTCCACAACCCAATGGTTTTAAGTCCATATACCTAGAGCCCAGATCAAAACCATGAATGTTCATGAGACTTTCAAATTTCTCTGCCATTTTGAAACCCTTACTATTGCCTTTTCCTTTCCGATTGTTGAACTTGTGTAAACAAGGAAGAAAACTGGCATCAAAAGGAGAGATCTTTCAAAAAGGGAGAAGAAAAATAACTATGCTTCCACAGCGAGATGCTTTCTGGATATTCATTGCATATGCCAACCAGGCCCGTTGAGTTCCCCTTAGATTTAAAGCTCAAAAATCTCTATTCATATTGAGACTTAAAAAGATTGCAGTACTCATAGTTCAAGAAAGGGGCAGCAACTCCGCAGACATTTAAAGAAACACTCAAGAAACTCAAACGGAATGAAATGACATACTATGCACTCAGATTTACTGTGCTAAACGATTTAACATTTAACAAAAATGTGAATAAATATGCACACGACAGGCTTGTATGAACATTCTCCTCACAGTGCAGATACATTCAGTGTTGGACTGGTCCTGAGCAGCATCGTTCTAAGGTGCTGGTAAGCATTAGTTCCGTTTGGCTTCTTTTCTTCCTCTGTTGCTATATTTCAACAGGAAGCCCTGGTGGCTGGTGGCTGACAGAAGATGTCTTGTTAGTGATCAGGTGGCTCCAGCTCACCACAATCACAGTCAAAGCTACCGTCCATCTTACTCTGGTACCACCTGAGGAAATACAAAGAGAGTCACCATGACAGGAAACGTGTACAAAGGGACAAACTAGATACTAAGCAAGAAACTATGACTGGTGCATTAAGCTTACTGCAAATGAAGGAATAAACTCCCCTTAATCCAAAACAGCTTATAAAAATGCTGCAAGCAATTTACCCATGCTTGCTTCCTCACACCTCCCCTTATACTGGCCTTTGTGTAGTGCTTCGGCTCATCAGGTTGTGCATTTCTCAAATGCCAGCAAGTATGGGAAGGCTCAAAAAAAATATATATATATATATACACACACACATACATACATATATGTGTGTGTGTATACGTATGTATGTATGTATATATATATTATTTTTTTTTTGGTCAGTCGTGGGGCTTGAACTCTGGGCTTAGGCGCTGTCCCTCAACTTTTCAGCTCAAAGTGAGCGCTCTACCACTTGAGCCACAGCGCCACTTCCAGTTTTCTAGTGGTTTATTGGAGATAAGAGTCTCAGGGAGTTTCCTGCATGGGGTGGCTTTGAAAGCGTGATCCTCAGATCTCAGCTTCCTGAGTAGCTAGGATTACCGACTGGCATGAGCCACGGGCGCCCAGCTCTATATTTTTATATAATCCTTACAAGTAAAGCTTTTGAGGTATTAGCAGTACTTCCCTAAAAGAACACAATAAGACTAATTTGTTAGTTCATTAAGGAACATGTTTATTTACTATGTCTAAACAAAAGCATAGCAATGCAAGTAAGACAAATGTGTAGAACATGCTCTTTGTGTGATGGAAAAGAAAACTTGAACAACAAAACCTACAGAATAGTATTTGATGCCATGAGGAAAGCCGTAAATATTCTTTCTGACCAGGAAAATACTTTCAAAGAGTAGGTTAACATTTGTCTGAGAAGGAATGCAGGAAAACAGCTTTCATATAATATGGATGAGAGCTAACACTCCTAGAAAGATGCACAGAAATCAATACATAGATATTCATATTCAAATACTCTCTCCCACCTTGAAACAACCTAAATTTATAAAATTAGAACAGGCTGGGAATGTGGATTGGTGGTAGTATGCTTGCTTAGCATGCATGAGGTCGTGGGTTCAATTCCTTGGTACCACATAAAATACAATTTTGAAAAAATCAAATTAGGAGGATAGATAAAAGGAATGAGTTTATACTCACCTAATGAGATACTATAAAATCATTAAAATGAGTAAGTTATTAAAAGTTCCAAAATGATACATTTTATTAAAATGAAACTACAAATGAATGTGCATGCTAAAAACAGTCATATCAGGTTGAAAAGCAGGCAAAACGGTGCTGCTTTATGGTTGTACTTGTGGGTAGCAAAAGTACACGAGAGTCTCAGGAACCAAATTCATCTTAATGATTCATTCCCTTGAGGAATGAGAAGAGAGATCTGGATTAGGGCAGGAGTATGGCATTATCTTTAAAATGTCACTCATTTTTAAAACCAAGTATAGCAGATTATTGAGATCTATTTATAGAGCTACATGGTATGTATAAGAAGGTTCACTGTGCTGACCTCTGTATACTGTAAATATTTCATGATTTTAAAATACTCTATACAAAGGCAAAGAGGAAAAAAAAATACAGATTTGACTCCAGTAAGTGGTTTCCTAGCCAGTCTAGAAAAAATATAGGCAACTTGGTTCTTTCAGCTTAATGTGAGATGCTTCAGAAATAAGGTGCCAGGTTCCACACAGCTAAAACCAGATGTCGTTGGCAGAAAGAAAAATCTAAAATCAATCATTCATTCCCCATTTATTTTGGTGGTACTGAGGTTTGAACTCTGGGCATCACTCTTTACTAGGTAGATACACTTTACCACTTGAGATGCCCTAGCTCTCTTTTGCTTCATTTTTTTTTTTTTTGGGGTCCGGTCGTGGGGCCTGAACTCTGGGCCTGGGCGCTGTCCCTCAGCTCTTCAGCTCAAGGCTAGAGCTCTACCACTTTAAGCCACAGCGCCACTTCCGGCTTTTTTCTTTTTGCTTATGTAGTGCTGAGGAATCGAACCCAGGGCCTCGAGCATGCAAGGCAAGCGCTCAACCACTGAGCCACCTTCCCAGCCCCTGCTTCATTTTTTAATACATAAATGTATACTAGACAGGAACTGAGAGAGACAGGACTCTGATCTTCAGTAAACTCATTAACCAACAGGGAAGAAATTAGCTTGACAGTACAAGTTGATATGTACCATTCCCCAGGTCTCTTAATAGAAATATTTCTTCTATCTGCTTAATATGATAAAGACATTGATGGTGTAATAGCTTCCTTTATTTTACAGGAACAGATGGTTTCTTCATTTGCAAGTTTTTGTCTGCTTCTCAGAAAATAGCCCCTCCCCAAAAAAAAGAACCTACCTCTAGAAATCCTGTAGTTTACCAGTCTGTCTACATGAAAACACTGAAAAGTTAAAAAGCTGTGAGTTAGGTGTGGCAACTGAGGCACTCAAGAGGCACAGACAGGATGATTAAGTTTTGAGCTACAAAGCAAGACTGCTCAATAAAACCAAGGGGACGAGCGCTTGCCTCGATGTACCAAGTCCCAGAAAGAGAGAGATGAGGGGAGAGAAACTGATTTTAAAGGAACTATTAGAACGATAAACACTAATTAGCACTGTATGTCGTCCTCTCCATGTTCTTCTGCTTGTATACATCCTGTTCTTCCTGTTTCCTACAAAATACCCCAGAAAAATCAATATTAAAAGACAATGTTTGTCAGTCATGGGGTGTGAATTCAGGGTCTCGGCGCTGTTCCTGAGCTAGCTTTTTTTTTTGGAAGTGCTGAGAACTGAACCCAGAACTTAGTATGCTACAAAGCCCTCTATTACTGAATTATAGCACTAATCCCCCATCTACTTTCTCCTTAACATAGCCGTTCTTAGGGCTTAGTTGAGTTTTAAATGGTTTTTGTTATTCTTTTTTATTGGTCTGGGGGCCCCAACTCAGGGCCTAGGCAGTGTCCCTGAGCTTTTTTGCTCAAGGCTAGCAGTCTACTACTTTGAGCCACAGCTCCACTTCCAGTATTCCAGTGGTTAATTGGAGGTAAGTTTCATAGCCTTTCCTGCTACAGCTGACTTCAAACAGTCATCACAGATCTCAGCCTCCTGAGAAACTGCAATTGCAGGTGTGAGCTCTGGCACCCGTATAATTTTTTTTTTTTTTGTTAGCTGTGGGGCTTGAACTCTGGGCTTGGCTGCTGTCCCTGAGCTCTTCAGTTCAAGGCAAGTGCTCTACCACTTGAGCCACAGTGCCACTTCCGGTTTCCTGGTGGTTTACTGGAGGTAAGAGTCTCATGGTCTCTCCTGCCCGGGCTGGCTTTGAACTGCGTTCCTCAGATCTCAGCTTCCTGAGTAGCTAGGATTACAGGCATGAGCCACCGGCGCCCAGCTTTAAATTTTTTTGATAACTGTACATCTTAAAGTTGATTCAACAGACTTTAAAAACAGTAAAATCTCCAAGTTCTGTCTTAAACGTCTCTTTCAGTCGAAAAATCTGGTCAAGCACAAGTAATACTTGGCCAGAAACCATACCATCAGTATCTGAAAGAAATGGACTATTTGGTGGAGCCTTACTCAACTCAAGCCCTGTCCATCTACTCCACGGAGGTTCACTGACACCCAGGCACAGCGCACGGCAAACGCAGTGCACAAAATGCATTTTCTGAAGCCCCAGCGCAGGCTCACTGCGACGGGACCCAGGGATAAGTGGGCATGCGCTGGGGAAGGCGGGAGCTGGCTTCTAGGCGGAGAACTGCAGTTATTATGAACTCAACGATTAAAGAAAGAACATAATGTGCATCAACAAAACTACTGAGCAGGGCATGTTTGCACACGCATGTAATACCAGCATTTAGGATGCTAAGAAGATCATGATTTCATGGCCAGCCAAAGCTATACATTAACTTTCAACACACACACACAAAGAAAACCCTCCAAAAAAAACCCCAAAACATAACCAAAAAAAAACACCACAAACTGTAGCTGTAGCAGACAGTGCAAGCTGCACTGGTGCAGTCTTGAGTGGAGGGAGCGCCATATTAACAGTGGCAGGGCTGCTCAGTGAGCTGGCCCCACGCTCTGCAGTGTTCTGCAGCCTTTGACAGTCACTAGACCACCGCTTCTGGAGCTGGAAAGTAAGCAGGGGCAGCGCTGCGCTTCTGCAGCCTCCAGGGTCCCCGCGTCACTTTCCACTTGCTAAGCATTCTGGGAAGCCGAATGAGGATAAAAGGGTAATAGTAATAATAAAAGATCCTTAGGTGCTCCCTCATGAAGTTTATAGCATGAATGAAGACAAAGAAGGCTGGGCACTAGTGCACTAGTGGCTCATGCCTGCAATCCTAGCTGGTAGAGACCCAACCTTGAGACCCTGAGTTCAAAATCCAGTATCCACACACAAACAAATAAGAGAGGGAGGAGAGGAGGGAAGGAAAGAAGGAAGGGAGGGAGAAAAAGAGAAGAGAGGGAAGAAGGGAGGGAGGGAAGGAGAGGAGGCAGGAAGGCATGTAGAGAGAGAGAAGGAGGGGAAGAAACAAGGAAGGAAGGGGAGGGAGGGAGAAGAGAAGGAAGGGAAGGAGAGGGAGGGAGACAGGAAGAGTGGAAGGAGAAAAACTGTACAGCATTGGAAGCTACTTGGGGGCTGAGGTCAGGATTGCAGTTCAAGGCTAGCCTGGAAGAAAAGTTTGCAGGACCTTGGGATTTCTCCAGCTATTGGTAGCGGTGGCACACGCCTGACATCCCAAGCTCTGCAAGAGGCTGAGACTGGGGGGACTGTGGTGCCAGGTCAGCCCAGGCGGAAGCTGGTGAGATGCCATCTGAGGGGATCTGGCCATGAGGGCAGGCGTCTGTGGCCCCGTAACTACAGGATGCCTAACGGAGCAGGAATCACACAGCTTGGGTGTGTGTGTGCCCTCTGTCCCGCTGAAAACAGGGCTGGAGGCATGGCTCAGTGCTACTTGCCAGCCTAGCAGTGTGAGCTCAAACATCAGG